GCCTAAGGAGTTTACAACCCCCCTAAAAAACAAAAAACTCTTTTGAATACACATACTAAATTCAAGCCTGGTCCTATCAGATCGCTATATGCAACCCCCCCCCCATGGGTAATTGAGTAACCACTCAGCTTTTTTTTTTTTCTTCTCCAAAAAAAATTTTTTCTCTCTGTGATGCTCTCCTTTTTTGTTAACAAGAGGTTTACCTCTAACCTTCCAAAAAGATAAGTATTATGTTTTGTGAGGGAGACTTTTCCCCCGGGGCGGGGGTTTCTACCCTTCGCCCAATAAGAACCGCAGATTTTTTTTAAAACCTGATTTCTGGGCCTCATCCTCCGGAAATTCTCTTTCTTTGTTACTAATGTTGTGGCCTCACCCCATAACAAAGAAACAGAATTTCCGGAAGATGAGGCCCAGAAATCAGGATTTAAAAAAGATTCCCAGGTGATTCTAATGTGCAGCCAAGGTTGAGAACCACTGCCCTAGGAGATCATTGCATCCTCTCCAGAGTATGAGAGCAGCACTTGTCCTGGGGGGTGTGGAGGGGCTAACCCCTTCTTGTTCTTTAGATATCATCTCTCAGGAACCTTCTCTGGTCTCTGTTCCCACAGACAGCCCAGTGAAATGTCCCTACAAGGAGGTGCTCACAGCAGCCTGTTTCTTCCATCCCAGACCTTCCTATGCCATGTGGTAAGTACCTGTGGATAGTAGGCTCATTTGGGCAGAAACAGTTTCTTTGTCACAGTTTTGGGGGCATTTCAAGCACTCATTGATGATCTGCTGAGTGCCTCGTTATTTAAACAATCCTTGTCTGGAAGGGGAGAGCTTGGGCCAGTGGGGGCTGGCCCGGGCCCTAATACTAGTATTTGCAGGGCCCAGGCCAAAAATACTTATGTGCCTTAATATTTAAATGTACAAATCAAGGGGAGAAACCAAGATGGCGGCATAGGTAAACACCGGAGTTTGCTGCCTCGAACAACCACTTCAAAAATACAACTAAAAGACAGAATGGACATCATCCAGAACCACAGAAAGGCTGGCTGAGTGGAAATTCTACAACTAGAAGGAAAGAGAAAAGCATACCGAGACTCAGAGGAGGCGCAGTATGGAAGTAAAATACTAAGGTGCGGAGTGCATGTGGAGCAGGCTGGCGGCTGAGGGCTCGGTTGTCGTTTTCAATCGGGAGGGAGTCTCAGGCTCTGAGCTCCAGTTCCGGGCGAGTCTCTAGGGACCCAGATTCATACAGGAGAAGCGGGACTGTCTGGCATTGGTCGGAACCCGAGGGCAGCTTTCTCTCCGAGGGGCTTGCAGCGATTACGGGGACACTGAGAAGCAGAGCCTCTGAGGGCAAGTCTGAGAGCAGCCATAACTGCTAGCCCCGCCCTGTTGATCCCATGGGACCCGCCCCGCCCAAGCCCTGCAGGGAGGCTTTTGCTGGATAGACTCAGGCAAAGGCTAGATTAGCACCTCCCTAGAGATCCAGGAGCCAGGAAGCCCAGAGGTCAGAGTGGGACCATCCAGTTTGCAGCTCCCTGGAAACATAAAGGACACTCAGGGGGCAGACTCAGTGAGCACCAAAGCCCCATTGAAGCAAGTCTTGCCCCAGAGGGGTGTCTCCAGCACAGAAGTTCTCCCACTGCAGACACAGCTGATTTCACAGCCAATTGGCCTGGAGGTCAATTCCTCCCAGTGATAACTACAACAATCAAGGCTTAACTACAACAAGACTGTGCACAAAGCCCACAAGGGGT